TGGGGGCAATCATCTGATAAAACAGGAGTGCGAATGATATACGGGTTCGTCGGCGCTAACTATTACACCAGTATTAGACGTTTTTGTCACTTGTATTAACTCTATGGCCGCCACTGTCTCTATACATACGGTTAGACTGTTATCGGTTGACAATAGGAGAGGCTTTGAGACTAATTTATCAATTCGTGTGTCGCTCTCTCATCAGTGATGATAATGTAATGCTCTTTTCGCTAACACTCTCCTCACAATCAAATCATATCAGAGAGAGAGCTTGATGTCAAATGCAGGGAATTTAAGTACAGAATTAAATACATTTGCTTTCATAAGGAGAGCGTTAGCGAAAAGAGCATTACATTATCATCACTGATGAGAGAGCGACACACGAATTGATAAATTAGTCTCAAAGCCTCTCCTATTGTCAACCGATAACAGTCTAACCGTATGTATAGAGAGAGAGAGAGAGAGAGAGAGAGAGAGATTGAATGAACAGAATAGAGGGAATAATTGTCGCACAACTGATAGCCATATGCTGTGAATCAGTGAACAAATGGTATGCCATTTATGTCTCTGTCGTCTATTATCTGATGATATCTTTTTGGTGTCCATCGTCTCCAGTAATGATGACAGCGAGTGGTATGTGTTGTGAGCCATAGATTTCATTATTCACGGCATATGATAGCCATAATAGCGACCAATACTTGACTGATGAACCGGACTGTGATTGTGGGGTAATTGTGCGCTCATATCATAGTCTCCCATAATATACACATAAAACACAACTTTTCTAACAATTATTGGTCGAGAAATTGTGCCCAAACTTTATATTAATATAATAAATGACATGCGATCGTAATATACGCTACATTTAGCATCACATCAATTGCCAAACACTAATTATGATAACAAATGCGTGTATTTATAGATAAGTGACTTATATTTTTTGTAAGAATTAAAAACAAAATTCAATTAAAACTAATATATTTAATGCAATTTTATTCACTTTGTTTTTAGCAAAAGTTTGTTTTTGTTTCTTTAGCCGACAAATGTTTAGACGAAGTGAAGCGACAAATCAGTGTATAAAACAAGAAATGAGAGCCGAAATGGCAAAGAATTTAATATCATTAGCCGTCTCTATGTGTCTGTAAATTGGATTTACTATTAGTACTCGTAATTGGATTTATAAATCATAGATTATATTGTCGTAAAAATTATATTTATATATAAGAAATCCTATCAACAAAAAAAACGAAAGTGAAAAACATTTTCACTTCAATGTTAAGGCAATACATGTGTTAAACGTATTAGTCGTCTATAAATATCTGTATTATAAAAAGTGAGAGTAAGAGAGAAAGTGAGTGAGAATTGTGTCGAAAAATGATCTTAAATCTCATGTAATATAATAATAAACATAACAAAACAAATCTGTTGAGCGATAAAAATGTTATTTTTCTAAGTGCTCGGCAACTGTGCGGACTCATAGACCCCTTAATAGCTAGGGATCGAGAGAGAGAGAGAGAGAGAGAGAGGATGAAGAGATTGTATGAAATTTATGTGAAACATATATTTCCCAAACACTAAACAAAATTTATGACATTTTATGGACTCGTTTTTATGTGTAAAAGTGATTAAAAGAGAGAGAGAGAGAGAGAGAGAGAGAGAGAGATAAAGTGAGAGATTGATAAGTAACTCATCCATGACTGTGGCATTAGATCAGTCTCTCCTCCGATCTCCAAACATTATACCAGACTTTTATGGTCGACACTAAGCATTCATTTATATAGTAAATGGTCTAAAATAATGCACCGCTTTCTCGAACACCACTTAAATAAAGTAATTTCATTAAAAAGTTGGCCAAAAAATATGCGAGCCATTCGTATGCCGGACACAAAGCCAATGCGTCCATTTGGGCGACAAATATTCCCAAATAAATGCACCATGGACACTTTATTTCTATCTTACTGTATATATCCATATTAAGTAGCGATTGTTATGTGCGGCCGAGTATTGTATGATATGTTCGTTATTATATAATTTAAACATAAAAAACATTTTATGATCGCCGGGTATAAAGTTTTGTCGCATAAATTTTAATGGTCGACAGTTTTATACATATTGAAGTACCCATTAATGTCAGTGTCACATACAATAAGTTTTCTCAGCTCCCAGTAATGGCTACCCCCTGATCGGCCTGTGCTGTGCCCCCTCCCCCTCTTCTGGAGATGCTGTGTAATGATCACCCGAATGGGTCCCCGAAGACGTTGTGCATAAATTATGTGAACCCAAGTCTTAACTGTCTGTACGACCAATAAAAGCATTTATAGCGAAACCACAATAAATGTCACCCAAAAAGATATTTATGCCCACAATATAGAGATTTGCATCACAGACACAGACTCTGAGAGGACAGTTAGTTAGACCCCGAGAGCTCTGTATGTTTTATAAGCCAGTGTCCCGTTATTTGGCCTAAAAGTTTAATGAACTGTTATATACCCATATAACCTATATGCCCGGGGTTTACAACATCTATATATATGGATAATAATAATATTATATGTATTTCTATACATATTTATGGTTTTCAAACGGTTATTGCCGTTCATTTCATTTGGTGGTAAAGCACTTAACGATACCATTGCTATGGGGTTGAGAGGGAAATGGGGGGTAGGGTTGGCATCGGTTGTGTCCGTACATAACAAATGGATGTCTCGACATTCATCTTATGACAGGAAGTCTGACCAATTGACTGGTCTTTTATATGAATATATATCACTGCAAACCCATCGCCACTTTTAATCACTTTTACACATAAAAACGAGTCCATAAAATGTCATAAATTTTGTTTAGTGTTTGGGAAATATATGTTTCACATAAATTTCATACAATCTCTTCATCCTCTCTCTCTCTCTCTCTCGCTCTCATAGACTTTATTATCACTTTCATGAAAATAAATTAATTCAAATAAATGTTGAAAAACAAAATACAGTATATTATTACGACTTTTGGTATAAAAGGCGCATAAAATTGGAAATAATTTATTGTAACTTTTTTTAGTGGTGAATAAAATTGACGACTCGATCGTTATTATTACTGAAGTGATCGAGAATTTGCAAAACGAATGACAAATATATCACTATTTTATTGTAAATTTTATGTATATTTTGTTATTTAAGTCTAAATTCAGTGATTAATTACTGAATCCTGTTTTAAGAACACATTTTGCAAATTAATTATATTAATAATAAATGGATTTTAAAAATTCCCATTAATTTATTTGTGATTACGTTTTTGTATAACTGATAATTTAATTAATTTTCAAAATATGTTTTGATATCACGTCTATTGTCCGATCAATACGTATATAATAAGCGTTTGCGTCAATCCATACAAAACGATAATATTTCATAAAAAAAACTCAAAGATTTTGATCAGTTTTGTCATAAAGTATTTGCTTATCATCAGAGATGACATCAAATTGATGTCAGGCCTGACATTCATTGTCATTACTTATGAGAGAGAAAGAGAGAGAGAGAGAGAGAGAGAGAGAGAGAGAGAGAGAGAGAGAGAGAGCTCGTGGAATTGCAGACATCACTGATGATATTCTCTCTCTCTCTCTCTCTCTCTCTCTCTCTCTCTCTCTCTCTCTCTCGTGTTTAAAAAAGAGGAAGAAAGAGGAGGACAGGCGTGAATGTGTGGCGTATAATAAATCTTTAGGTTTTGACAGTTTGTGTGACATTTATCACACAAAAGATAATCTAAAACTTTTTTTGTTGCTTGAAATGAAAGTTAAGCACAAATTTTGCTTATGTTTTGGTTGACAGTCGTTGTAATCAACAAATTATTAACTTTTTTTGCTCAAACACACAAAAAATCCTGAAATTATTACAAAAATTATGTAAAAACTCTTTGAAATATAAAATTTTAAATTTTATGTATTAATACACTAATATAATTTATAAATCTAATAAACAATTCAGAATTTAACAATTTAAATTTATAAATGTTATTAAAAATTTTATCCGGAAATATTTGCCAAGAATTATCATTTAATATTATAATTGCAACAAATTTGTAATAATAAATTATAATTTAATAATAATATAAAGTTTATATAATATATCTTTATATAATAAATCTTGTTATGACAAAACAAATCTAAATTGTGAATGGTGATAATAAAGTCAAAGATTTAAAATTGATTAAAATTAATTGAATCAATTTATTACATAAAAACCAGACATTCATTTAACACATGAAATACTATGAAATTCAGAGTCACTTGTCTTACAAATAACTCGTAAACTATTTGTAAAAGTATTTCAAACTTTTTCCTTCTTTTTTTGGCCAATAATTTAATGGATAAAAAAGTTTTCAGACTTTTCTTTCTGTTTGTATTTATCGCATGTTTCCATAGATTTTGTGCTCTAATCGCGAAAATGCTTGACATTATAAACAGGATGTTGTTGTAGGAGATAATGAAGACTAAGTCATCAATTATAGTGATTGGGTCACCAAATATTTTTTATTTTATGTTTGGGTGTATCGCCTCCGGGGTATCATTTGTCACACACACAGCACAAACAGATAGTAGTGCTAAATATCGGGCCCCAGTGTTAGCCATAATGAGAGACAACAGTGCAAATAGAGTCGGGAGAGTGAGAGACAGATATACTATACGACAATCAGATAATAAACACACGAATTGATGACCAAAAAACGCGAACTTAACTTAAATTGTATTGCATTTTGTTTTTTCTTTTAGCGAAGAGAGAGAGAGAGAGAGAGAGAGAGAGAGAGAGAAAGAGAGAACACAACTGGAACTTCAATTCCCAAATAATTTATTAGTCGTCTTCGAAGAGTGCAAACCCGTGTTGTCCTCTCTATCTCTCACTCACTCACTATCAGACTCTCTCCCGAGCCGTGCATTTAATTCATAAAATCATTGAATGGATGAATAGAGGGCTAAGAGAAGAGACCCTCTGAGAGGTCTGTGTGACAGAGTTTCAGTCCTTGCAATCACTGATATGTCTTTAAATGAAAAATGATTATTGTTTTTGAACGCCTAAACGGTTTTCATCGTTTAGTAACTCCAAAACACATCTCATTATTTTTATTGTACTCATCTCTCTCTCTCTCTCTCTCTCTCTCTCTCTCTCTCTCGTCTCAAATATAATTTGAATGACTTTTCAGATTATTAAATGAGTTCCAAGAAGTTCTGCCATAACAACTGACATGTGTTTTAATAAATATTTATTTTTTATTTAAATTTAATAAACTTCTGCCTTTGTGTTCGACAATATACACAATATTTCAAACAGTTAGTGAATGAGGCAGAGAGAGAGAGAGAGAGAGAGAGAGAGAGAGAATGAAATCCCAAAAAGGAAACACTAATATAACAAATTTTTTTGATAAATTATAATTATATTAAATGACATGATTTTCATTTAAACTTCATTCAAATGATAGAATGCCATACATTTCGTGTCCGATAACGTGATTGTAATCTTTAATCGTATTCTTTATCTAATATTTAATATAATATATAAAATGAGATTATTTATGATCACAACTAGTCTCCCAAAAACAAGACGTGAATCCTGTAAATTCCTGTCCCGTCCCATTCCTGTACAGGATTGGGACGGGACAGGAAAAGATTTGACGTATGCTTACAGGAATGGGACGGGACAGGAATGGGTTTAAGACAGGAAAATACAGGAAAATGCAATAAAATATTTTTAAAAAATTAATTTCAGTATTTGTAAGTACTGTATGATATGGTATATGTAGAATACAAAGGGATCCGACTGTACGGCGCCTACGAGAGCGTATGAGACTCACAATAAAGCATTGTTTTAGCCAAACGATAGGCGCCAATGAATATTTGGAAGCCTTTATATATGCCGACAGAATTTACAGGAAATTACAGGACAGGACGGGACAGGAAAATATTTTGACATTTAGTACAGGATCGGGACAGGAATGAGTTTTAACTAACATTTGGGGCACTAGTATGTATCTGTGTGTGTGCGAAGTCCACAATCAGAGAGAGAGAGAGAGAGAGAGAGAGGTATGAGTTTTATTAAATATTACATTAATATTCGTATAAACCGCAAGAAGTAGCATCTTTGTGGCTGTCTTTTCAACCATATAGTATTTCAATGATATTTAGTATAATAATATTTAATTAATCAACTAGGACAATAGATGTTGCCAAAATGAACACAAGTGTAGTTTACGTACCAATAGATTTCCTGACACAATAATTATATTCATGTTGAATGATATAACATTTATTAAAACAATAGTTTATTATAATGTATACAACGGTATATCAATGGTTGATCACAATTAATAGTACATGATCATATACCCACAATTTTAACTTAAATTATAATATTAATACTATTTTCGTAATTCTAACTTCACCAATTATCATAATACATAATACATTTTCAAATAATCAAATATTAATTTAAGCATGTTATAAATATGATCAATGAAGCAAGATAATCATTAAATTTTAACTCAACATGTATGGCACAAACTGACAGTTCATTTTTACAATACAAAATGATTAAAATAAAATTAATGTTATTAATGCACTTGGAATTATTCTGTAAGGTTCAACAGAATATAACTATAGTTGTTTATAAAACCAATTTTATTATATTGTTTTATTAAGGCGAGAATATTTCATTCATCATTGGCCCCAAATATTTAGCATAGGCCTTATATTTAGTTACAAACATTTTGCCCTGCATTTCATTTAATACATTTACATCACTTAAAGTTATCATCAGTTTTTGTAGTGTTGTTTGCGATTCCGATTCCGAGAGGTATTTCAATAGTAAATATCTTTTCAGTAAATATATATACAGTTGTTGTTCGAGTCTAACAAACAAAACAAATAATAATTAAAACACAATTAAAAAATATAAATTAATTGCAAAACTCACTTAACAGTAGTTTTATGCATTAAATTTGGTTGATTTGGCTTAAACAGCATTATTGCCGTCAACTTAGCATAAAAATAATCAGTTCAACAATTATAAATCAACATGTCAAATTAATAACTTATTACCAGGTTTATAATAATGGGGTCGCTGTAATCCCACACCAATAGAAATTGTCCATAGTAATATTTCAACGAATTATAATGTTTCTGTTCAAACATAGACAAATCAATCTGAATGGATCTTAAACTATTCTAGATTAATATTTAAAAATATAAGCACTATTGACCAAGATATAAATAAAACTCATAATGATATTACAAGTGGCATGATAAAACAAGCACGATCCTGGTGATAATATTTCAAATTCCGGATTAACATCAAGTCTTTGCCGCCGTATTTAACTAAAGCCAAGCGATCGTTGGGACAGATATTGTTGAATGTCATCAAATGTTGTGCAAAACTGATTAAATCGGTCACAAATTTTTCATTCAAATGTGAATAATTTGCAATCATTTTCTTCAACCCTAATATTTCTTTAACTATTTTCTCACAATTTAACCGATAGTTGAATACATTGGAAGCGGTCATCAATTCCCGCATCCGATTGCACTCTAAGTGATTTAAACCCTTATAATCTATTAGTTCCCTGAATACGGAAATTACTGGCAATTCCGGTGACTCTTCATTACTTGCAGTGAATATATTGTTTGTCACATAGTTTTCAATATCTCTGATCTGTTCCGTAAGCTCTTCGGCACTCGTATTGATTGTGTTTTCTAACAATATATCAATTTCTTGACAAAAATTATTGTCATTTTGTGTTGAATCAGTCGACGAGTGATTTGTAGTCAACGAGGAGTTACAATAACCTGAATTAAAATTAACATACAATTAGATTAATAAAATAATTAACACATTTATCACTTTATTTAAATATAAATTATGAAAACATTACTCAAAGAAACCACAGATTCATTGCATTGCAGTTGTTTTAGTCTATTATTTATAACAACTTGTTTTAGTTTTTCATTTTCCTCTTTACTCCGGATTAACTCCTATTGAATAGAAATTATAAATATTTTAATTAATTAATTACTTGTTTATTAAAATCACACACTTTGAGCATTCCTGCAGCCAAACACTTGTCGAGCCGACACTTTTTGCACCACTTTCTGGTCAATAGGTTTATAACGCATTCACCGTTTGATTGACAAACCAATGGCTATAAAAACCAGAAAAAATACAATAAAATAAATTATATATTTGTATATAAAATTAATATAACCTGATTTTTGGGCGCAAATGTCCTGAAGAATGCTTTACAACAGTCACAACTAATCGCACCAAAGTGCCTTGCTACATTAAGACAAATAATTAATGTCAATTAAACTGTATAATTGTAGGTTAAGTCTATGGATTCATTACCATTTGCTTTATTGCCACAAATGCCGCAAATTTTGTTCATTTTGATTATAATTATGTAATTATATTTGTCACAATTTTATTTATTTTAATTCATTTAAAAATACACTGTTTGTAAAGTTTTAATTTTGTAAACAACATTATACTTTACGCCATCTAAATAAATAAACATAGTAACAGGTTTATCAATAACATAAAAAATAATATAAAGTTTACATATGTAAAGTTTATATTACGTTTTTTAACAGATATAAAGAATGTTGCAAAGTATTTATGGTAAATAATATTTATATTTTAATTATTAAAATTCAATAACAACATTATAAGTTATAACTTATAACTATTTTGAAATTGCTATATGTCAAGTACTTCCTTCATAAGCGGACCTAGATGATGTTTGTAATCCCTGTATAGGGGTAGACCAATCTTCAATTCTAACTTATTTAATAGATTTAAATCCTTTAATGAAAGCATCAGTTTTTGAAGTTTTACTTCTGATTCTGACCGGTATTTCCATAATAAATGTTTATTTAATAAATAAATGTACAGTTGTTGTTCGAGTCTATAAAATATATGGTAAAAATTAATTAATAATTTTATGTTATTTGTTATGAATTTGTATCACTACTCACTTAACAATGAGTTTATGGGTTAGATTCGGTCGATTCGGGTTATAATATATTATTGCTGTTAACTAGAAGTTTGAATAAATATATTTTATATAATAATATTATATTATTTTTGTTATAATTAAATATTACCATGTTAATTGCGATATAATCATTATAATTCCATTCAGATAACAAAGTCAACATTATTGATTTAACTAATTCGGTAAATGTATGATCTGGAAATACCATCACATTCATATTGATTTTGGCACATTTATCATCATCCTATATAATATTATGTTAGGTTAGGTATATGTTACAGGTTATGTAATATCAGGTTATTCAGTAATATGTAAATTATATGTTACTGTATGTAATCCACTTACTAAAGGCACATAGAAATTGTCAGTCAATTTGTCGTAAAACCTAAAGCCCTGTATAGATGTCAACTCATTGAAGCCATACTTCAATAGTGTCACCCTATCCTCAGCGCATACTGTGTTATATCCGGACAAAGATTTAGTAAAATTTACCATGTCCATTATTGAACACTCTTGCTTTGCGCTACAGTTTATGATTAATTCTGGAAAAGTATTTATTTTTATTACAACATTCTTTGATGTTTTGTAGTCAAACACAACGGCAGCGCTCATCAACTCTGATATCCTATTGCTTTCCAATTCATTCAAACCGTTATAATCTGTAATTTCCCTAAACATGGGAACAATTGCCGTGTATTTGTTGTTTTCATTGATTTCTAACAAATCCACATCTGATGTAATATTTGTAATACTGTTTCCAACGTCTGTTATTTCATTCAAGTTAACATCAATTGAATTGTCGAGCAATTCATCGAAAATGTCTTTCTCTGTGTTTCCATCAAAAATAGTTAAATCATTTGATGAGTCCGTAGAGGAAGGCATCAAAGTATTGGTAAAATTAACACATTTTTCACGTTTCAATTTATTTAATTTATTTTCTCGCATCGCTTTCTTTCTCCACTCATTTTGCTCATCACTTCTGATAAATTCCTATTAAAATAAAATATTTATTACTATTTATTAATTTTAAAATTAAACACAAAAAATTAAATACTTTTCGCATCCCAACGGCTAAGCACTTCTGGAGCCGACACTTTTTGCATAAGTTTCTCGTCAATGGGTTTATAATGCAATTACCATTTGATCGACAACTCCATGGCTTACAACATAATTATAAAGTAATTATAAGTATATAAAGTATTAACAAAATTTAATTAAATAAAAATTATTTAAAAACCTTATTCTTGAGTCCATGGCGTCTGAAGAATGATTTACACGATTCACACGTTATAACAGTAAAATTTCTGCCTAAATAACATTCATGTTTTTAATTTATACTTAATTTAATAAATAATAAACAATTTAATACCGAATCCTTTATCGCCGCAAACTTTGCACAATTCATGTGATTTCTTATCATTTAATTCACTATTCATTGTAGTATTAATTGTTTATTATATTTATAATTTATGTCATAATTAAATGTGAAAATATAAAACATATTGCACTTGTTTTCATGTTTATTACAAAATTTTATATATATAACAACACTCAAGAGATATAATGATAAGTATTTTATTACAAAGTCCAATTCAATGGCATAACTAAATTGGTTATGAACATTAAAAATTTAATGTAATAAATTTTACTATTTATAAAATAATTTACATTAAGACAATTTTATAAATATCAATAGAGAGCAATTATTTATCAATTTATTAATGTATATCAAAATGACATTTATGATTGAATTTAAAAATATATCATACCCGTATAATTTTATATTAGAATTATAGACTAAATATTTCGTTTACAAGTGGACCTAGATGGTGTTTATTATCCCTGTATACTTGTGTAGCCACCCTCATTTGCAATTCACTATATAGATTTAAATATTTCAATGAAAACATTAGTTTTTGTAGTTTTACTCTCGATTCCGAGCGGTATTTCAATAGTAGATATCTTTGCAGTAAATATATATACAGTTGTTGTTCGAGTCTAACAATCAATAATAATTTTGAACAAATCAATTTAGTTATAGTTAATTAATTGCAGTTAATTTGAATCACAACTTACTTAACACTTTGTTTATGCAATATATTCGGTCGATTCGGGTTATAGAATATTATTGCCAATAACTGTAAGTTTGATTTTATATAATAAAAAGGTTATAGAATGTCAACAATTAGTTAACCAATTAACCAGTTAACTAGAAAATTACCAGATTCATTGCAATACAATCATTGTAATTCCACTCAGACAATAATTTCAGCAAGGTTGATTTCAATAGTTGACTATTCTTAGGATCAATAGATTGAAAAACGTTCATGCTGATCTGAATACAATTATCATCATCCTGTATGTGTACAGTAAATTCATTAATGTATCATTAAAACCATTTAGACTGAGTATGATATAATCAACTCACATAGGGCATATAGAAATTGTCGGTCAGTCTGTCGTAAAACTTAAAGCCTAATAAAGCCAGTAACTCATTGTAGCCGTACTTCATTAGCGCCACCCTATCCTCAATGCATATAGTATTGAATCCGGATAGAGATTTAGTGAAATTGACCATGTCCATTATTAAACCTTCTTGCTTATGACCACAATTTATTAGCATTTCTTGGAATGTATTTATTTTAAAGACAATATTATTTGATAATTTATAGTCAAACACAACGGCAGCGCTCGACAGCTCCGATATCCTATTGCTTTCCAATTCATTCAAACTGTTATAATCCGTGATTTCCCTAAACATGGGAACAATTGACGTGTTTTTGTTGTTTAGATTTATTTTCAGCAAATTTTCCTCTAATGTAATGCTTGTAATACTGTTTCCAATGTCTGTAATCTCATCCAAATTAAGATCAATTGAATTGTTGAGTAATTCATCCAAAATGTCTTTCTCTTTGTTTTCATCAAAAATAATTAAATCATTTGATGAGTCCGTAGAGGAAGGCATCGATATATCAGTGAAATTATCACATTTTTGTTTTGATTTATTCAATTTATTTTCACTAATAGTTTTCTTTCTTTTCTCGTTTTGCTCATCACTTCTGATGAATTCCTATTAAAACATAATATTTGTAACAATTTATTAATTATAATTATAAATACTTTTCTCATCCCAACTGCGAAACACTTCTCGAGTCGACATTTTTTACATATCCTTCTCGTCAATGGATTTATAATACAATTACCATTTGATGGACAATACAATGGCTGACAAATAAAAAGTTGTAATCTTTATTATTACAAAAATAATGAATAAAATTAATTAAAAACCTTATTCTTAAGTCCATTGCGTCTAAAAAATGATTTACACGATTCACACGTTATTACAGTAAAATTTCTGCCTAAAAAATGACATGAATTAAAATTTGTTATTATGAAAAATTTAATATCGTATATCATAATAAAAGCATTTAATACCAAATCCTTTAGCGCCGCAAACTTTGCATATTTCATGGGATTTGCTGTCATTTAATTTACTATTCATTGTTTGCATTAATTGTTGATTAAACACAAAATTTATGTCACAATTAGATGTAAAAAATGCTAAAATAGTGTATATTAATATTTGACATCTTTGTTATTTACTAAAAACTTTATATATAACAGAACAGTAGAGATAATGTGACAGCTATTACAAATTCTGATAACTCATTTTCAATGCCAATTTAATTATACCACTATGTGTTTTTTCACGTATTAAGTTATACACCTTGAATATTTAATCTTTAATTAAATTACCCCTCTTTATAAATAACAGTTTTTAAAAATTATATTTGACAAATAATTAATCAAAAACAATTATGTAAACAGGTCCTTTAATTTTAAAATTTTCAACAACATAGAAACGTTTATAATATGGAGGTTTTATTGTATAATTAATTGTATCAAACTGCATTTCCTAATTGCATTTTAATTATTTTATTGACAATTTTATAAATATCAATGAACATCAATTATTTATCTGTTAATTAATGAATTTCAAAATGACATTTATCATTGAACTTTAAATATATTTTTTTATTTAATCATCATAAACTAAATAGTTCGTTTACAAGTGGACCTAGATGGTGTTTATTATCCTTGTATACCGGTGTACCAATTGTCATTTGCAATTCATTGTATAGATTTAAGTCTTTCATTGAAAACATTAGTTTTTGAAGTTTTAGTCTCGAAACCGATTCCAAGCGATATTTCAATAGTAGATATCTTTGCAGTAAATATATATACAGTTGTTGTTCGAGTCTAACAAACAATNTCAATAGTAGATATCTTTGCAGTAAATATATATACAGTTGTTGTTCGAGTCTAACAAACAATAATTTTGAACAAATCAATTTAGTTATAGTTAATTAGTTTAGGTTAATTTATATCACAACTTACTTAACACTTTTTTTATGCAATATATTCGGTCGATTCGGGTTATAGAATATTATTGCCATTAACTGTAAGTTTGAATTTTATATAATAGTAAGGTTATAGAATGTTTAAAATTAGTTAATCATAAATTACCAGGTTCATTGCAATATAATCATCGTAATTCCATTCGGACAATAATTTCAGCATAGTTGATTTCATTAGTTGACCATTTCTAGTATGAGTAGATTGTAAAACGTCCATACTGATTTGAATACAACTTTCATCATCCTGTATTTATACAATAAATTTACTAATGTGCAATTCAAAACATTTAGACATAGCATGATATAATCAACTAACTAATGGGAAATAGAAATTGTCGGTCAATTTGTCGTAAAACTTAAAGCCCAATAACGAGAGTAACTCATTGGAGCCGTACTTCATTAGCGCCACCCTATCCTCAATGCATATACATGTAGTATTGAATCCGGATAGAGATTTAGTGAAATTGACCATGTCCATTATTAAACACTCTTGCTTTTGACTACAATTTATGAGCATTTCTTGAAACGTATTTATTTTAAAGACAACATTATTAGATATTTTATAGTCAAACACAACGGCAGCGCTCGTCAGCTCCGATATCCTATTGCTTTCCAATGCATTCAAACCGTTATAATCCGTGATTTCCCTAAACATGGGAACAATTGACGTGTTTTTGTTGTTTTCATTTATTTTCAGCAAATCCTTCTCTAATTTAATGTTTGTAATACTGTTTCCAATGTCTGTAATATCACTCAAATTAACATCACTTGAATTGTTTAGTAACTCATTCAAAATGTCTTTCTCTTTGTTTTCATCAAAAATAATTAAATCATTTGATGAGTCCGTAGAGCAAGACATGGATATATCGGTAAAACTATCACATTTTCGTATTGATTTATTTTCTTTTATAATTTTTCTTCTTTTCTCATTTTGCTCATCACTTCTAATCAATTCCTATTAAATCATAAATTTATTACAATTTATTAAATATAATTATAAATACTTTTATCATTCCGACGGCTAAACTCTTCTCGAGTCGACATTTTTGGCAAATACTTCGTGTCAATGGAGTTATAATGCAATTACCATTTGATGGACAATACAATGGCTGACAAAACAATTATAAAGTGATTGTGAATACTGTATAAAATTACAAATTAAATAAAAATAATTAATACCTTATTCTTAAGTCCATGGCGTCTGAAGAATGATTTACAAGCTTCACATGTTATTACCGTAAAATTATTGCCTAAAAACAATATAATTTCAAATTACAAATTGTTTTTATAAAAAATATTTAATATAAATCACAGTAAAAGTATTTAATACCAAATGCTTTAGCGCCGCAAACTTTACATATTTCACGGGATTTGTTGCCAGTTGATTTACTATTCATTGTTTGCATTAATTGTTGATTAAATACATAATTAATGTCACAATTAAACGTAAAATAGTGTATATTTGATATATTTTTTGTTTACTAAAACCTGTTAAATATAACATAACATTATACTTGAGATAACATCACAAGTATTACAAAGTCTGATAATTCATATTCAATGCCAATTAAATGGTTACCAGGATATGATTTTTTTTGCACATTTAGTTATACACCTTGATTGTTTTATCTTTAAACACGTTATCCCTCTGTGATGCTCGAAATTCAGTCAAGCACTGATTTCGGTAATAATCGGTTAGAAACGGGTGTAGCGGTGATCGCGCGGTCGCGCAATCAAGTGGTAGAGCTTTGCAATCAATTCGGTTCACTTCCGGAA